TACAAGTAGAATACGTCCAATCAAATTGGAACTCTGGGTATACTACTCTAACAAAAAAAACAACAGATAAACTACAGATAAACCAACAAAAAACCACAGATAAACGACAGATAAAAAAAACACAAATAAACCATAGATAAATCAACAAAAAACCACAGATAAAACCACAACTGAAGAGATAGAATAAACCCGCGCCCCGAATCTCATGATCTTCCCACTGAAGTCAAACCACATTTCATCCAACCTTGGCTGGTGTACTTCTCGCAATGAAATCAAATTGACAAGTTGGTTCTAAACCTTACAATGAGGTAGGTCGATAAATTTACCCAAAGCAGAATTTCTAAACAACTCCAATTAATCGTTGGACAACAGACGCTTAATGTCTGCAATAGGTGTGGTAGAACGACTGTTATCATTGTTGTTGATTATCTTCACGGTCAATGCTCTTGAGTTTGGAATAATCAATTCCCAATCCTAATGAAAAGAAACAAACAATTGATACCAACAATAACACTAAAACATATATGCTAGATCTAAATAGTTTATACAGACATAAACATTGGTACCTACAATGACATTATTTGCTTGTCAACATGGATAGCAACAATTTTTGTGAGGACCAACAAATAAACCAATAAAAAAAATTGGACAAAATTAAACATAAATTATATGAACACAGATACTAGGAAAAATACTTCTAAAGGTAAAAAAATACCTTGTGTTCTCTTTGGTGTTTATTCCCGGCATCTTCATCGTGAAACTCAGAAAAAATAGATTTATGCCTATGTGTGTTGCCCTTGGACCTCCTCAGTACTGATTTGTTAGCCTCAGAGCCATCCTCACTTTCTTCTTCATCCAGAGGAACACATTGTTCAACTTCGAAATCAGAATCGATGTCATCTGGATATTTAACCTTTCTCTTCCCCTTAGCATCTCCGTTTCGCTCCATAGCATTCTTCTGAGAAAATCGCTTCTTCTGAGCACTGGAACGAGTTATTGGGCATCTGAAATGCAAGTGTTCTCCCACAAACGACTTTCTCTGCTTGAAAACAATGCCTTTGGTCTGCTGATTCTTCTTGCCAAACTGAATTTTCTTTTGAACAAGCTTCGACGACACTGAACTTCAAATTTTCGAGGTTGTTGCTCCAGACTTCCTTCGCATTCAGATGAAGTATCAGAGACATAATTTTCATCCTTAATTTTCGCCATCAATTCATCTGCAATTTGATTTCTGAATTTTACTTTGAACAAATTAGGGAAAGATGAGGAAAAAAGATAATCATCGACATCAATTGATCTGCAATTTTTTGATATGTGTGTGTACAGGTTGCGTGTTTAGGAGGAGAGAGATTTTAGAATCTCGATAAATCTTAAGATTACCGTTTTATTCACATTAACTAGTATTAATTAATCAGAATCCACAAAGTGGAATTAAACTTTTCCTAATTTCGTATTTGCGACCTCATGAAATCTATAGTGCGAAGATTTTTTTTAATATCGTTAAATGGGCAGTATAAAAGAATAAAGTCGTGCGAGGGGTAATTTTTTCTAGACTTTTCTGGTTCTCTTTTCTCGTTCTTTTACTGCACCTCTTTTATGCTTGGATTGATGGATGCTTGGTGAATATTGAGGACTCCAATTTACAACACAATTTATTTTAAAATGGAAACATGTTTTACATTTGTTTCGATCGTCCCTCACATTTAGGAAACAAATTTGTCAAAAACTGAAATAGTATATTTTTATATACATAGATACTAATTATGATCCTAATCTTTTTAAACAACACGTTCATATAGGAAACAAAAATAAGTATTGTAATTTTTTGCACACTCAAATTCAAATACATCACACAAAAATAATTAAATGAATTTAAGTGACTATTTTTATATATTGAATACACTATTGTTTAATTTCAAAGTCAGGTATTTGATTTTTTATATACTCACACAATTAGCATGTATATAAAACTTTGTTTTTACTTGAAATAAAAACAGAAATCCCACCTAAAAAAAATTTATAATTACTGAACTTTGTAATCTTTTTTGAAGTTTGTTAAAAGATCCAGCCTCTAGAAAGTCGGCACTTGATTTTTTATATACTCACACAATTGGCATGTATATAAAACTTTGTTTTTACATAAAAATCCCAACGAAATAAATTAAAATTACTAAACTTGGAAATATTTTTTGAATTTTTTTAAAAAAGATCCAGCCTCTAGAAATTAATTAATCAATTTAAGGTAAAAAATTAACGAAAATAATAAATCCAATTTTGATATAAAGTGGACGATTTTATTTGAGATATCTAATGGACACTTTTATCGTTGGTAGGAAATGTTTTGCTATTAACAAATGTCTGAATTTATGGTATAAAGTGGGCGATTTTATTTTAGTATGAAATATTTGAATTTAAATGGTATGAATTTTATTTGGTATATATACAAGTGTATTTGGAAATTTTGAAAACAAAATTAGTGGTATGAATTTTATTTATATGAGTATGAAAATCAAATTTTAGGTTGATTCGTTGTAAAATCAAGGTGATATGATTATCAAATTTTAGGATATTCCCATTATAACTTGCTATAAGATATTGATAATAATTCGACAAATTGATATGTACTCTTGAAAATAAGAAAGATCTTTGAACAAATATTCCTCTTTAAATTTAAAAATTGTAATGTAATTTTGGAGAATTACATAAGAGAACTTATTGTTTAGTCCAAATTTGGATTCAAAGTTTAGAAGTCAAATAACAAATTATTCATAACTTACGGATAAATATTAACTTGGAAGTAAATGGAATAATTAATTATTCATAGTTTAATAAATTACTCAACTACTTAATTTTTTTTGTTAATAAAAAAATAAATTAACTCTAATTAATAAAAAAACTTAAATTTAATAATAATACTTATTATTCACATATATTTTAAAATATATGATAAAATTTTATCAAAATAATTATTGCATAGAATCACATTGTAGTAAAATTCAATTTTTGAATAAAATTTTTGAAATGACAATTATTTTGAAATGAATATAATGTAATTTATTGCCACTTACATGCACTGTACGAGTTATGTACTAATTTTAAATGGACATATTTTATGTAATTTTGCACAATTTAATTTTGAATAAAATTTTTAATAAATTATTATAGGTAAATTGAATTACATATTGAATCCATATTTTTAATTTAGAAGTATTATTGAATGCCACATTTTTTATTTATAAATATTAATGAGTATCTCTAACTCGTGCATCGCACGAGATTCATACTAGTAATTACAACAAATACTATAAGATAATCATTTTTAATTTATAACATAAAAATTTCCGTGTTCTAACATAATAATGATAAATACTATAAGGTAATCAGATCTAATTTATAACATAAAAGTTTCTAAGTTCTAACATAATAATAATAATAATAATAATAATAATAATAATAATAATAATAATAATAGTAATAATAATAATAATAGTAAATTCTATAATATAATCAATTCTAATTTATAACATAAAAATTTCTATGTTCTAACATAACAACAACAACAACAACAACAACAACAACAACAACAACAACAACAACAATAATAATAATAATAATAATAATAATAATAATAATAATAATAAATACTATAAGATAAGCAATTATAATCTATAATATAATAATTTCTAAATTCTAAAATACTAATGATAAATTCTATAAGATAATTCATTCTAATTTATAATATAATAATTTCTAAATTCTAACATAATTTCTATAATAAATAAAAATTTGACCAGTAACAAATAAAAATATTAAAAAAAAAAAACACGGCCAGCCGGCGATTGCAGCCGCACAAAGTGGCGGTCGGCTGATTAGGTCGACCAACCACCGAACTGACCAGCCAACCGCCGCCTTGTTATGCCGCATCTGCCGGCGTTATTTTCATACCGCGTCGTGGTTCATATTCGCCGTAAATCACTGACTATTCAGAGAATTTACGATTTTTTGAGTTTTTGGAAAAATAACCAGGCAAAATAGTCCAAAAAGGACAATACATAATAGTAATAGGGGTGGTGTAAGTAACAGCATTTCTTTATTATCAATCACATCTGTGTGGCGTGGGGTGACAAGAATATTTCTTAGCCAATAACTCAGATTTCAAATAACAAATAATAATTTCTCAATGTAATTTAATGGTGCACTACTACCCTTTATTTATGTTTTCGATTTTCACACCTAGGAGATGATAAGAGAAAAAATTTGCTGTAGAAGAATATAAAATGTTTTCGTATTGTAATTTTGTCTCTCTCTGTTAACTAAAGATCTTACATGTTTATCTAGCCAACCAGCTAAGAGCAACAATGTCAGCATACGATATGAAGTATTTCTAACGACGAATAAATTAACTACAGTTGCAAAAGGAATCAGGATCCAATAAATTTTATTCTTACTTAAACTCAATGATACATTTTAATAGAATTTGTGTATTTCTATACATTTTTTTTTTTCAAAGGTATTTATATACAATCAATACACATAATATGACACAACTGAAGGGACCCAAGTCATAGGTTCCAACAGGGAATTTATCAAGCATACAAGATCTGCTCCAATCCAGAAGACAACTCAAGCAATAACAAAAACCCTCAATTCTTCCCTGTCTCCCCGAGTGATACGCGTATCAGAATCCAAATACGTAACCTCAAACTCACCGTACCCCGTATTAGACGGTGGCCTTAGGGCATCCGGTAAACGGGGAACATCTAATGGGGGCAGCTGAGATAAGTTCCCCGTTGTCTTCAAGGTTGTCTTCTCAAATGTTATCTTGACCCCCCTTGTACCTTGTATCGCAATTTTTTTAAACAAAAACTTCCATGAGCATTATTCATAAGCAAAGAACGAAAGGGAAAGGAAAAACATTATAAGTAAATGCACCAAACCTTTAACTTCGAACTTGTGGGCTAAGGTGGCAGTGACTTCTAGCGGGGGCAAAGGCCATGGAGCCCCCAATTCAAGCTCCACTATGTTGTCAAAGTCTTTGCTAAAAATATCGATCCTTTGGAATACCTTATCAAACACCAAAAACCGCATAATTAAACAAAATATAACAACAATGATGATTGTGATTAAAATGAAACGGAGAGAAAAAACAAACACTCCCATCATCCACGTTCATTTGAAAGGTTGTGTAAATTTATCGACACGAATGATTCATGAAAGTAGGTCACCACATTTGAAAGGTTGTGTAAATTCATTGAAAGGTTGCTTCTTTTGGCCTCAATTATTGGTCCTAATTTTTTTGATATTCCATCTCAGACCTCATGTATGGGTTGGGTGAGTGTCACCACAAGCAAATGCAAGGAGTTACCAAATGGATGGAGAATCATTTAACAAAAATACAACCAATAGAAAAACGTTACTTGAAGAACGATTTAGCAACAAAGGATGTGCAGGAAAAGATAAAAAAAAAAATAACCTTAGTTATTTTATTTCACAATAATGCACACCTGACCTAGAGTAATAGGAAGAAGTCTTCTGGTGGGTGGTCCAGGGCGGCTACCCCCAAGAGTGCGAGATGAGAAAGCACTGCTGTAAATCAATTTCCACCTGCCTTGCAGCTTATCAATGTCTGTAGACAGGTCCACTGCACCTCCAGCTGACTCCAGATCCTTTGCTGCAGCTTCAGCATTTCGTAGGTCATCCTCATTAGCCGCTAGGCCTCTGTTCAAACCAGAAACAGCACTCTGCATCCATAGAAAAAATACCAACATTCATTAACAAACAAATTTATCCTCTACAGAAAAGACTTACGCGCATGATGCCTTCGTATTATTGAGAAATTATCTTCCAATATATCTCTTCATTTTGGATATCAGTTCTGACAATCTAATCATGTAGCTTATTCATGTTCATAACTCTTTTATATAGACATTTCAAAAACGTCCAAGCACAGTCCAGTAGTTAGACGACTGTCATTCATCATATCTACATGCATTATGAGTGATATATTGTGATATTTGGACGTGTTTATCGTTGGATTGTGCAACATTTTTGTTTTATTTATTAATCTATGATAGAAATATGCTCGAAAAAAGAGATAAAAAATGAGTCGGGACGAAAAACGACGAAAATGAGGTGCAGTCTAGGACATACGACTCGTGTGGGTCAGTGACACGAGTCGTGTGGATAACGAAAAGAAGGATTTTGTTTCGTCATTTTCACACGACAGTGTGGCCTCACACTCGTGTGACCGGTCGTGTGAGTCTGGGAGTTTCGGGAGTTTCGTGAAAATTAGAGAAAAGTCACACGACTTCACACAGATCAGACCAGCGGGAAATGCGGGAAATAGGACTAGGATTCTGATGCAATTTCTTCCCTTTTCGACTCATAATTGCCCTACACTACAAGAGGAACTTGGAGAACTCGGTTTTGGGGACTTTTGGAACTTTTGGAGGCCGAGAAGAAGCACAGAACGCACGAGGGATTTGAAGGAGTCAAGATTGAAGATTTGGGAGCTAATGGCGGAAATGGTTCTTCTTTATTTTCTCTTTTTCTTTTTCATTGAACTCATGTATTTATTTATTTTCAGTTTTGAGAATATGTTTAGTAGCTAAACCTTTTTTAGGTTTTAGGATTTGTGAGTACTCGAATTATCTTATGAAGTAATTTTATGGTCCACCTTTCGTTTATCAATTCTTATGCTTATATTAATTGTGTGAATATAGGCCCATATTTATCCATGCTTGTGATTGACTTGAGACCGAGAAGAGATAGTTGATGCTAGAATTGAAAAATTCATAACGTACGAGACTAAACAGCTAAAAGGTTGATAGAATCTTGCAAGGGAACCAAATCTTAGGGTGTTTTTGTAAAATAAATATCTCAAAGCAAATTAAGTCATACTCAAATCTAACTCAACTTTAACTCAACCCCACTATCCTCAGTATTATCAACATAATTAAATAATAACAATCAATCATTAAAAAATAAGAACCAATCACTTTTACACATCATATCAACTTTAATTCTCTATCCATTCACTCACATAATTTGAACTAACCATCAATTCATATAATCTCTCTCCTACTTTTACATCAAACAATTTTAATTATTTTATTTTATATATTATTTTAATATAAACTCAAAATCCCACTAACTAATTATACCACTTTTTTTACATTAACCTTAGTTAACTAAAAAAAACTCACTTTGAGTTAATTCACTCAAATTATTTCTTTTACAAACACAACCTTAGAGGAGTTAATTGTTCATCTTGAGACCGAAAGAAAATAGATAGCATTTAATCAACGACTTAGCTTGCTCGAGAGAAGGGTTAGATTACTTAAGTGATTATCCTTGTGATTGATAGAATTGAATAAGGATTGAATGAATAAAAATCTTTGCTAGAATAATCCCGAGGACAACTTAGCCTAAAATCTATTTTCTAAATCTTGAATTATTTAGAATAGACCTTCATTAGTTGTTAGCATTAGTTTATCTTTATTCATTATTTAAGAATTAAATCACCGTTCAAATTTGAGTTAGTCAAAATAATATTCAATCGTCTATATTTTGGTACTTAATTATTCTAACACCAATCTATGTGGAATACGGCTTTGCTCGCCGCTTACTATAGCTACACCGTACATTAATGAAAATATTTAACAAGTTTTTGGCGCCGTTGTCGGGGATTGTTTTGTTAAAATTAATTACTATTAGAAGAAGACGAGTAGATATTAATTTAGCCATTTTTATTTTGTTTAATAATTTAGTTCTAATTATATTATTTTTGGTTTTTTATAGGTAGGTGCATGATCACGAGGTCTAGTGGAAGTTCACCCGCGAAATTTGATCCCGAGATTGAAGCTAGTTGCCGAAAAAAACAACGCAAATCGAAGACTACAACAACGACTGAGAAGCGCGATGGAAAATCAAGGTGAAGACAGGTATATGCAGCTTCAAGCGCAATTGGCGTAGCTACAACGCCAATTAGTCGAACATCAGGCTCAACAAGAGACGGGAGCACCGGTGCGGAACATCTTCAAGCTCAAGAGGACTAAGCATACGGAGGAGGTCATGGGCCGAGAATTGCGGCTAATACTTTTGAGTTGAGCCCCCCGTCCTTGATTTGGATGGTTCAACAAGAGCAGCTTGGGGGAGGTGCAATCGAGGACCCCGATTGCGCACTTGGCGCAATTTTTGGAGATATGCAGTACGGTGGAGTACAATGGAGTCCCAGACGATGCTATTCGGCTTTGCCTTTTCTCTCTCTTAGAGATAAAGCAAAGGTATGTTAGAATCCACTTGAAGTCGTGACAGTGATATCATGAGAGGAAATGTGTCAGAAATTTCTCTTGAAGTTCTTCCCACCGAGTAAGATGTTAAGACTTCAGAAGGAGATCACTCAATTCAAGCAACAAGATGGCGAGCCTTTACATTAGGCTTGGGAGCGTTATTCGCAACTCCTTCGGACGTGCCTACAGCATGGTTTTTTGGAGGAGCACCAAATTAGTTACTTCTACAATGGATTGAGTGGCCGATGAAGGCCGTGGTGGATGCCTCAGCTGGAGGCGCTCTCTTGGGAAGACGACTAAACGACGCAAAGCAAATTCTCGAACAGATGCCGTCATGTAGTTATCAATGGCCGGTCGAGAGAACTATGCTTAAGAGGGTGACAGCTACAAATGAGACGGACTCAATGGTAGCCATCGCAGCTCAAGCGGTGGCAATGGTGCTTAATGGCTTCCAGAGCGTAGGAGTTGAGGAACTGGTCGAGGTCGTGAATTATGTGAATAATCGAAATTTTGGAAATTTTAGAAGACCTCAAGCGGGAAACACGTATTACCAAGGCAACCGTAATCACCCCAACATCTCAATGCAAATTTGAATAATGCACTTCAATTGCCCTCGGGATTTTAGGTGACTAATGGGGTCATATCAATGAGCCGAAGAAGCCGACAATCAAAGATATGTTTGCCTCGTTCGACGCACAAATTCAAGAGTGACACTCATGCTAAGTTCTTTACGTTAAAGAATCAAATGAAGTCGATGGAGCAGCAAATGGGGTAAATAGCCAAGGCAATTGGGATTCAACACCGAGGTGAATCTGAAGGAATAATGCAAAGCCATCCATCTAAGGAGTGGCGCGGAGTATGAAGGACAGAGGATGTCAATGAACCGAAAAAAGCCTTGCAAGAGGAAAGCAATGAAGAGGAAGAAGTTGAGGGAGTTGTAGCGGAGCCCCCAAAATGGTGAAGGGACTGAGAAGTCAATATCTACTTCTAACACTTCTACTACTAATATTACTTTACTCAACATTTTGCTAAGCAAAAAATGGACAACAATATGCCAATCGTGAAAATTTTACCAAGGTTCAAATGAATATTTCTCTTGTTGATGCATTGCATGAGATGTCCAAATCGTGAAGGGACTGAGAAGTCGATATCTACTTCTAACATTTCTACTCCTAATATTACTTTATTCAACGTTTTGCTAAGCAAAAAATGGACAACAATATGCCAATCGTGAAAAATTTACCAAGGTTCAAATGAATATTTCTCTTGTTGTTGCATTGCATGAGATGTCCAAATATGTCAAGTTCTTGAAGGACATGGTATCTAGGGAAAAAAAAGGCTCAAGCGTATGACAAGGGGAAATTGACGGAGGAGTGTATTGCTATGATCCAAAGGAAGATGTCTTTCAAACATTAGGATCCTAGGAGCTTCACAATAGCATGCATCATAGGGGAAAGCGGTTCGGGAAGGTGTTGTGTGACTTTGGAGCAAGCATTAATCTAATGTCACTATCAATTTTTAAGAGGTTGGAGATTGGGACGATTAGACCACGATGATTGCATTGCAAATGGCGGATAGATCCTTTTCCTATCCAAAGGGGATTGTGGAAGACATATTGGTGAAAGTCGAGGATTTTATCTTATCGGCCGATTTTGTAGTCCTTGATATAGAGGAGGATAAAGAGGTACCACTAATTTTGGGTCGTTCCTTTCTTGCAACCGGGGAGCATTGATTGATGTGAATAATGACAAGTTTACTCTCCGAGTCGACGACGAGAGCATCACATTTTCAATATATCAAGGATGAAGAATAGTGATGAGGATGGTGAGATCGAGGAATGTAAAGTGATTAAAGTTGTCGAGTTTTCCGACAATGACATGATTACTTCTTCGTCTAAAGACCCTTTTGATCTATGCTATGTTACCCGAACTCGTCACCTACCACCGGCATACCTGTCGACACGACACGACACGAAACGAGTGCCGGTACAAACTCCGGCTCCGATCCGGTCAAAAGAGGCCGAATACGTTGACCATTGATGTTGTCAGGGCAGGTCGAAGATGAACAGTGCGCGGCGGTTGTTGAGAGTTGGAAGGAGATGGGCGTCGAATGTCTTTGAAAAGCGACGGGTGGAAGTTGGAAGGGCGACAGAAGACGAGGGCAAAGGAGAAGACAAACAGTGAGGCGACTGTTGAGTTGGAACGCGTGAAGACGTCTAGGTTAATTGTGTACAGATGGGCTTTTAAATGAATGGGTTGTTGACAGTACATGGGCTTTAAAGTTTTAATTTAATGGGACTGATTAATTTGAATGTACATTTTATATGGGCTCTCTTTTTAATTTACCACTCAAGTATGTAAATGAGTAGAAAATTAAATTGAAATGTTAATTTATTGCTTTTTCTTTTTATTTCAATGTTGTATTAGTAATATATTTGTATTGAATAATTATAAATCTAACTAAATTTGCAATGATATATATACATATATATACTTTTATCCTATTAATGTTGTAATATTAATTATTATTTTTAATTTTTTTTTACACTAACTGTCGTATCCACGTACTCGTGTCCAAGTTTGGGTACATGTCCTCGTTCTTAACTTTTAGAAATTCAAATACCGTATACTTGAATATGTACCCGTATCCGATTCTTGTACCCGAGTCAATGTAACATAGGATCCATGTGTTCTGAAGTCTTCATTTGCTTCTTCTTTGTTTGATCATTTACAAGAAAAAATTATTTAAATGTGTTGATGTGTTGGATAATTATAGGGAAATCCCGAAGAGGCAAGCCACATCTTTTGAGTTGAGACGTGATGAATTGGGAGAAGTTGAAAGTCGAGGAGAGAAGAAGAATGGAGTTCCGAAAGGGGACTTGAAATCGTTACCGGAGCACTTGAAATACGCATATCTTGGAGAGAATAACATGTTTCCAGTAATCGTTTCTTCTTACCTTTGTAATTCGGAACTTGATAGGTTATTGCGAGTCTTAAGAGAGCATAAATCTACGATTGGGTGGTCAATTAGTGATTTAAAAGGTATTAGTCCCTCTATTTGTATGCATAGAATTTTGCTTGAGGATAACTATAAGCAATGTGCTCAAAATCAACGTAGGCTAAATCCAATTATCCAAAGAGGTAGTAAGAAAAAAGGTCCTTAAGTTGTTAGATGCGAGAATGATTTTTGTTATTTCTGATAGTGAATAAGTTAGTCCTACACAAATTATGGCTAAGAAAGGGGGGATGACTATTGTGAAAAATGAGCATGATGGTGTTATAGCTACAAGGCTTTTGATGGGTTGACGTGTTCGTATTGATTATCGTAAATTAAATGTCGCTACATGCAAGGATCACTTTTCGTTGCTCGATTTTGCTCACAATTGTCACGAATTCAAACACACACTACCTAATCTCTTATTTGAAGCATTTAAGCTCTTAAGAAGGAAGAACTTTGGTGTCCTAAGGCTTAGGGTTTACACTTTGAATTTTTTTGCACGAATTCATCAACCAACGCATGATTTTTCTTCTCCTTTCTTGTAGTATCATGTTTTGAATGTTGAATTGAGGTATGGATGATGTGTTTTTAGCATAAGTTTGATATTAGGGTTACGAACTCTTTGTGGAATTTTATCGAACATCTTGTGGTGGTTGTTTTGATGAATTTTCTCTCCTTTTCATATGTCTAGTTGTTTTAATTGTTTGGTATGAGGAAGAGAGTCATGTTTGGCATGAGGTGAATTAGTTTTTGGGCTTAAATGCTAATGTTCTTAGCCTTAATAATTTTTTGTGAATTTGTCAAGTTGTGAGGAGGTAAGGAGAGCTGAATGATATGTGGTGATTTTTTGTTGAATTATTTGGGGTAATGTTTGTAGTTTGATCGTATTACATAAATTATTTGTGATGAATTTTGGAGTTGAAAAAAAATAAGATATGCGTTGATTTTGGAGATAGTTTGTGATTGTTAATTATTGTTGGGTTCATTTAATACTTGTGAATGTTTTGGTGAATGAAAAGGGTTGTTGATTGTTGGTGACGTTGAAATTGAACTATTACATTTTTTGTTTAATGTAGGTGTGGAAATGAATACTCGTGGACTCGGAGGTGCGAGTGTGGCGCCTCCATCGACGAGAAATGACGAAGATATCGAGCTCGATCCACGCGAGTTGGAGGTTGAATTGGCACATCAATGACAAAAAGAGAGGTGGTCTCGGCTTGCGAGGATAGTTATTAAGCCAACTCGATATCTGTACGAGGCTGCCGAGCGTGCCCTTTGTATACATGAGGCGGTGGTGCCTCAATTCACGCGGCTCGAAATTTCTGACATTCTACATAAGCGTCCGGCGACATATAAGAGAATGGTGCTCGATGTTCTTAGCACCTTGAAGATGACGAGGGTGTCCGGGACGACATATCAGGAATTTCCATGTCAGTTGGACAATCGACCTTGGTGGGTAACTAAGGGCCAACTAGTATCATGGTTCGGAACAGGTGCCGATTATGCGGACAATACGAATTACAGTGAGGCCGAGTTCTGGAGGTCCATTACCTTGACTCCTGACGGAGCGGATTCCGAACCATTACAGTTCTCACGAGGGGAAGCGAAGGCCACCGATTATCGCAACTCGGTGTTGCGTTATATTCACCGACTGTTGCCACGTACGTTGCTTGCACTACGTTAGACCGGCTTTATCTCAAAAACCGAGGTATATATTCTATGGTGTCTGATGAGGCAATGAAGGCGGGGACTCGGATACCCCCACCGCAACCGTGATAACTGTGGTTAGTGAACAAGTTTGAAAGACATAAGTGGCATATCTTAGGGACTAACCACGGTAATCACGGCTGCGGTGGGGGAAATTCCCCTCATTCCGAGTCATCCACTGAATAAGTTTGAAAGACATAAGTGGCATATCTCGTACGTCCGTCAGGAGCTCAAGCATCTCCCTCTCCAACATCGTCATCTGCTCATCCATGTTCGACTACCGACGCCGACACCTCTGTTCAGATGCTCGAGAGGACTCCGGTCTGTCCTCGCCTACCGGCTACTCGGGTGCTCCTCCCTAATCTCCTTCCGGGTGCCACATCATAGCATCCCAATCTCACTCATAAACGGGCTTCTCCTTCTGTGGGGCATGCAGAGTCGACCGTGGGGCGAGTTTTTGCAGAACCCCCCCACAGGCTGACACTCATCTCTCACCCGCTCATGCGTCCATCTGCAGATACCCCTCAAGGTGGACTCTCGTCAGTTGTGGGTGCGGGAGAGGAAAATGGTCGTCATCTTTTGCACGAAAAACATCCGATTGTGCAAATCAGTCTTCAAATAACCATGTTCACCAAGGACAACAAATCTAAAAGGTCCACTTCCAGGAGATGCTTCCACCGTGAGTAGTTGATCCCCAAATGATCGATAATCACAGTAATCACCCCTCCACAACGGAGAGCGGTGTTGTATGCCTTGCACATGCGAGTCAAATTCACGTCTACCAATCGTCCGAATCCCAGCATCTGCTGCCTCATCAGACACCATAGAATATGTACCTCGGCCTTCGTAATAGGGTCGTGATGACGGATCGTGTTTTTACCTATTTCCGGGTTGTGAATAAACGCGCACTAGGGCCTTCGTTTATCCAC